TTGCTTATAATACTCTCTTCAAAATGTGAAACTTGCTCTTTGTGCTGTATTTATTTTCCTTGTGGCAGATACTCCTGTTTGTTCAGTTGGTGAATTCCCTTCCTCTCTTCTCCACACACATTCTGCAAACTTAACAAAAACCATGGATGTTCATAAAAACCTGCTAAAAGCACCAGTTGCATATTGACAGGAGTGACACGCCAATGCACCTGCAGAGCTGAGGTGGGAACACAAGGACTTCTTATAAGTTGAAGGATTCTAAATTCATGTGAACTCTCTTGACTGCCAGCCCCACAGCGCTGTCTGCACTAGGAAAATGACCCCCACTGCTAACAGTGGTTTAAAAATGGTCTAATTTGTGGAGTAGGCTGAATCATTAGGAAGATCGTGATCAATATGGGGCCCTAAGTTTTCAAAAATGACATCTTAATTAGGGCTCCTGATTTTGAAAACCTTTTCACGGGACCTGTCCACTGACCCTCTGAAAATGAGGCCTATTTAAATTGGGTCAAGGTGGGTGCCCCATTAGCTGGCCTGCAGTCCACAGACCAAATGTCAGTTTGACTTGCACGGACATCTGAGATCCACCCCCACCCTCAGCGAAAAATCCTAGTGGTGGGCCTCCCTTATTCAAGAAAGTGATTCATGAACCTTCTCCAGTTCATTACTGTACAGAGCACCTGCACCCCTAAGTGTGTGTCAGCCCTGTGGCAGCTACAGCTGCTTACACTAGAGAAGTCTAGGGGGAGAGGAGAGCATATATGTATTACTAACCCCCCCCCCACACACACACACACACACACACTTGTGGCTTCAGGGTGGTTTCTGCTGCTTCTCTCAGGCTCAGTGTTCACTACAGCCTTTTCCAGCTGTTACCATGCTCCACTTAGTAGATGGTGCTTTTCCAGTATGTGCTTTTTTCTCTTGCAGAGCTCCTGCAGTAGAGCCACCAAAAGTGCACGAATGTACATAGGCCAGCGGTGGGCAAAATGTGGCCCGGGGGCCGGATGTGACCCGCCAGGCCATTCTATCTGGCCTGTGGGCCCTGCCCAAAATTAAGAAAATTAATATTTATCTGCCCCTGACTGCCTGTCATGCGGCCCTCGATGGCTTGCCAAAACTCAGTAAGCGGCCCTCTGCCTGAAATAATTTCCTGCCCCAGCATATGCCCTTGTACTTGGCACTGGTGGCTTGTGTCTGCCTGCTGAAATTTTGGTATCCAAGGCAGCTGAGTGTAGACACATCCATGGAGACTAGTGGGCTGGCTCTGTATCATCTTTGCATCCAGTAGAGAGACAAAAACAGCAAAGCCATTGGGTTTTGCTTGGCCACCAGCAGCCACAGTGTAGGGCAGGGGAGGAGAATTATTTGCATCTGCAGGCCACATAGGCAGTTTTGGAAAGCTGTTGTGGGTCACTCTTCTCTCCCTCCCCCCCTTTCTCCCCTGCAACAGCCCAGAGTTTGCATGCCTTGTGGCTCCTCACCTCCACCCAGTGCCCAAAGCAGCTGAGTGCATGGTCCTGACCCTGGCCTGCCCTGTACCTGCTCCAGACTCACCCCAGCTGGAGTGGACCAGGTCTGAACTAGCCGGGACCCAGCATATGCATAGCCCCAGCTCTAGTGTGTCTTGCGCCTGCTCTGGACCTGCCCACCCACAATGAGCAGCAGTGGTGGCCAGGCAGAAGCTGCTGCTGGGCATGGGGGAATCCTCCTGTCCCCCCACTGCCACCACTGCTGGACCCTTTTTGCTGCAGCTGCCCAGAGCCTGTGCCCAAGCCATCCTGGGGCTCCTCTTCACTGCCACTGCTGACCCACTGGATAGTCAGGAGGCGGTGGTGGTGACTGCAGGAGAGAGGAGCCACAGGGCAGCCCAGGTGTGACAGCTGTAGCAAGAAGGGCCTGGCAGCAGCAAGGGGGTGGGGGCCACTTTTCCCCAGCACCCAGCAGCATTTTCTGCCCAGCCTCAGCTCTGGCATATAGTGGGCGGGCAGGTCTGGAGCAGGCACAGAGCGAGCTGGGGTCAGAGCTGGGCGCACAAATCTCGGCTGGTCTGCTCCAGCTGGAGTGAATCGAGTGGGTGTAGGCCAGGCCAGGGCTGGGGCTGCGGACGGTTACCTACCAGTCTTCAGGGGGCCAGTACCAGCAGCAGCCAGAAGGAGCCACCCCAGCCCCACTGCCTGCCTGGGGCTGACGGGATGCACCATGTGCTGGACAGCACCTGGGCCAGGCAGGACCAAGGGACCCATTATGGGCTAGACAGAGTCCTTTCACTGGCTGGATCCAGCCTGCTAGCTGTATATTGCCCACCCCTGGTGTAGGGAAAGTGCAAAGGCGCCAGAGAAGTGTTGTTGCCCTCAACCCCCTGCCTCTTGTGCCCTGGTGTAGGAATGAAGTCAACTGTGACTGCTTTGGTCATGCTTATGGTACCAAAGAGTATGTAAAGATAGGGTGACCATATGGGACAATGTGCAATCTAGAACACTGTGCCCCTCTCCTCCCCCTCTTCCCCCACTCAAGTCAGCAGCACTGCTGCAGGCAGAGGCGGGGAGGAGTGGGGGAGGGCCGGGTGGCATGGTGCAGCTCTGGTATTATTATTCGGGCAGCTAAGGGAGTCAATAGCCCATTAATGAATTGTTCTGTACTTCACAGGTGTTAAGTCATCTCCCTTTTTTAATGGTCATTCCACTAATCAAGCTAATCTATTTTAAGGCACTTCTGATGTCTGCTAGGGCTTCTTATTTCATGGCTGGTGCCCAGGATGCTTGTTTTAATTTTCACTGGTGGCCAGGACCAGCCTCCAAAATTTGGGACTGTCCTGGCCAAACCGGGATGTATGCCCCTCTCTAAAGAAGACCTAAACCCTTCCTATTATAGAAATTTGCAGCCGCATAACTAAATTGATTTAGCTGCCCTAATGCATCTTGCTGTTGTTGTGTTTTTCACTGATATAAAGCAGGGTCACCCCAACCTCTCACCAGTGCAGGTCATGTACAGAGTTTTATGCGGGAGTGACTACATTGGTATCATTACCCCAATGTGTAAAATGTAAATGGGGACTTAGCAAAGGGAAGCAGACCTTGAAGGGGAGCCAGCAGCAGTTCTCTTGAAACAAGACTAGATGGAGCTGAAGAGCTGTCATTTGTTAACATATCTGCTTGCCAAATCAATCCCAGAATATTTCTAACTGGCAGGAGGCCTGACCCAAGCATGAACTTCTGGTTAAAGAATAAAACCTGATTGCAGAAAGAGAAGATGGGGCTTCTCTTGTATACTGTGGGCTGAAGGTGGAGAGAAGTGTGCTGCTGAAATGAGAAGTACTGACACTTCTTACCCTCTATCAATTTCCATTCCTCCCCCTTTCTCATAAGTGCAGAAAATGCAAGAATGCTTATTCCATTTGAAATGCATTGCTGGGAAAAAACACAGGTCTTTTTCCTAGAGCAAAACTATTTGTATTTCTTTAGCAGGCTCACAAAATGATTAGGTGATGAATGATGAGTAGAGGGCAAAGGCCTAAAACCAAGCAAGAAGGACTTACTTTGTGTACTTGGAAGGATGAGGGAGTATTCCACATTTACAGGTATATTTGGAAGAAGACAGGCTGCTAGACTGTCTAAGGCTGGGAACCTGCACCACTGACTATTGAGACTCAGTCCTGATCTCCCAAAACTGGGATTACCTAGATTCACAGCTTCTTTTACATTAAAAAGAAAGCTTTTTTTAAACAAGCATCTAGATTGTGCAAGGATTGTGTAGCAGCACTGCACTGGCTTTGCTGTAGGCCTAGTTTCTTGGGCACATGTCAGTTGTAACAAACCCTATGTTCAGCAAGCTCTGTCCCACTCAAGTCAGTAGAACCCTCCTCGGTGACCTCTTACAAAATACTAAGATGCAAAATACTGTTTGCTCGTCCATTCCTCCTGCAGGGCTTTTAAGCCTCTGCCTTGAGGCTTCCACCCATCTTGCTTCACATGAGCTCAAATGTCCCCCAGCCATTATATATACTGAAATCTCAGCAAGCTGGGACTGCATGCAGTCTGCCTTCCAGCCAAGCCCTGCTGTGTATGTAAAAAGGCCCAATCAAAACCCAGGGTCCCAACCCAGTGTGGGGTCTGACTCCTGAACTGAACTGTGCAGCTCAGCCCTAGGCTCTTCCCTACATGCAAGGCTACTTTTGTTTTTTTGGTTTGTTTGCTTCACTCTGTTTAAATCTCAGCCCGCCAGTCTGTCTGACTATAAAGCCCTGATTAGCAGCATGCAGCTTTATGCCTGGATTAGTCTTCTTCCCATGGTTTTGAAGTTGGTCCGGGGTATCAATTAGCATCTCCAAAATATGTGAACCAGTTCCAGCAGATGTATCCTCTTGTCAGCTTTTGCATTTCACTTATGACTGACACCACCTGTGCTGTTGCAGCCCCTGCGTGGTCTGCATCAGCAGCAGTTAAGCAAGTTCCTCCAGATGTTCTCAGAACAACAAAGAGAGCTGGGTTTTTTTTCTTGCTATCTTAGTAGCTCTTTCCTGACCCAATAGAGCACAGGTTGTGCGCACGTGGCCTTAAAACATCTTGACCCAGGATCTTTGAAAACTAGGTGCCTAAACCATGAGCCACAGGCTGCATAGTTTTTAGGATGATCAAGTGAGTAGTAGAGCTGTTACTATAACAATGATTGCCTTAGTCTACCACTGACCTTTAGTCTGACCTTGGTCAAGACATAGAATGACATAAACACTAGGCTAGAAGGGGCATCCACTAGTCCAGTGGTTCTCAACTTTTTTTGTACCAGGACCCATTTGTAAACATCAATGCCCAGTCCCAACCCACTGCCCCCCACCTCCAGGCCCCAGCCCTTCAGTGTGTGGGGCAGGGGGTGGGTGTGTGGGGCAGGAGGGGCCCCCAAGCAGTTTGTTCATGGACCTTTCATAGATTCTTGCTACCCGTGGGTTGAGAAATGCTGACCTAGTCCAATCCCCTGATCAGGGCAGAATCATCCCTTTTCTAAACCAGCCCAGACGAATGTTGATCCAGTCTGCACTTCAAAACTTCCAAGGATGGAAATTCCAGAGCCTCTCTCAGTAATCTCCTCCAGTGCTTCCTGATAGCCAACCTCCGTCTCCCTTGTTGCAGTATAAGACTAATTCTTGTCCTGTTTTCAGCAGCGTGGAATAATTGATCACCAGCATCTTTATAACCACCCTTTTTGTACTTAAACTGTTATCAAATGCCTGCTCAGTCTTCTCTTCTTCTGACTACATTGTAGTTCTTTCAGTCTGCTTTCCTATGACTCTGTTTTCTAGACCTCTAGATGTTTGTTTTGCATATGGCATTCCTGTCAATAGATTCTAGTCTGATATCAACTTTTTATGCAATAGCATTGACTCACATGAAGTTTGCAGTCCTCTATAATCCCTGATTCTTTTCTGCAATAAAATTATTTTTCACTCTCCCGCAATCCCTTTCTCCTCAACCCTCACCAGCATCTTCAGTATAATGAACACAGAAGTACTTACCTTCCTTTGTAATGTTCTTTGAAATATACAGATGGAAAGGCATTAAGTAAAACCTTGTTTAGTCTTTAATGCACTGTCCTAATATAAATTAATAATTCTCTTTCTTTCTTTCTCATTTCTTTTTGACAGATATGTCACCTGGGACCTAAAGGTAACTGGCAACAGTTTCTCCTGCACAAGAGGAGGGAAAAAAAGCCTTGTTCCAGAGCCAGCCCTCAGGATGTGGACAGTGGTTGTATTTGTCCTGTTGATTTGCTTGTGCATATCTGAAAACAGAATTTCCATCTTAAAGGAGCGAGGGGCCCGGGTAATACAGATAAACAAACTGAGCAGTGAAAAGCAGTGCAGACAAGCTTGCAAAAGCCTATCTGTTTCAGGTGAGACCACCTTCCTTTAACTTGAAAGCAATCTGCAGTTTTCCTTTGCTTTAAAGATCTCTATCCTTCCTCCAGAATCCCTCCTTTTTTCACTCCAGTTGTTTACAGGCATTTATAATTATGGCTTCTGTGTGCAGTCCTGTGGTGGCTAAATAATTTCTGACAGCTTTGTTTAAACTGAAAACAGAACAGCCATTTCCCAGGGCTTTTCTCGCTTCCGTAAGAAGCAGCATTCATGCGCTCTTGATGAGTGCTGATAGTGTGCAAATGATAGTATGTCACTGAACTCTAATGATCAGTGGACCACACAGATAGATGTTTGCAGCTGTACAGTGCCACAGTGAACTGCTGTGCTTGGGTGAGCTATTTTTGCTCCCCGATATTTTGACTTTTTCTGACTTGCAAGAAAGCAGATGTTCAGCCCTCACTAGCTTTCTTGAGAGAGAAGAAGAGTGAGGAGAGTGATGATTTTGGGTGTCCAGACTGAGATGTCTTAAAGGTACCCTGGTTTCCAGTGGGGTTACATGTTCACCTCTCAAATCTGGCCTTTTTGAGATGTGTTCATTACAGTGCCTAAAGTCATTAGCCAGTTTGAAAAGTCTTGGCCTCGGTTAAAAAAAAATCAATAAAAAAAAATTAGAGCAGTCTGGGTGAAGTAAATGGATTTTCATGAGAATCTCTGCACCAGATTTCTCTAGTTTCTCTCCATGTGTTGGTTGGTAACAGGAACATCATCAAACTGCTTTTAATACCCAGTACTTTCCAACTTGGGTACCAAAAATATAGGGCTCAACTTCCTTCCTCCCCTCATGGATCTGCCACAAAGGGGCTAGGCAAATCCAAAAATCAGGCCAGTGATTTAGGAGCTCAGATGTGGATTTATGTGCTAAATGTAGGCCCTGAAGGTAGAAAACTTTTGGTCTCTGCTCTTCCAGGTGGCCCTGTTGTTAGAGACTATACCCACTTCCTGATTATAGTGATTGACAGAAAGGCATCAGAAGAAGTTTGAGCACGTCACAAATGTCAGCTTTAGGCTCTCAGTTCCCCTTAACCATTAGCTCATTCTATTCCCTGTCACACTTCCTCATTAGAATTGTTATAAGAGCATGGTAGTTTTCCATCAGGGATTCTGAGTGTATGGGCAAGATTAATTGGTTAAGAAGCCTCCTGTTCCAGTTTCAGGAAGTACTCTAAATTGCTGATTTTTGCACCCACAGCAGGGTGCAGGGCTGTAGCTTGGCTGGACCAGCTCCAGGCAGGAGCTCCCTCCACAGCCCAGTAGGCAGGACCCAGCATAGGAGGAAGCACCACATCGTCATAGCTGCCAATGTGAGGCAAAACTCTGCACCACTGCTGCACCTTACCTTGGTGGCCATGGTGGCACAGCATTCCTTCCCGTGCCGGGTCTTGTCTGCTGGGCCATGGAGGCAGCTTCTACTTGGAGCAGGTCTGTGCCCCCTGCCTCCCCTATGTTCCCCTTCCCCTGCCCCCATAGACTTACCTGGATGGAGCTGTGGGAGCTGTTCGCTATCTTGCCTGGCTGCCATGTGCATGTATGCATGCACATACACATAGCACCCCCTGTGTCTTGCTCCCCACAACTCTAAGCAGCCTGTTGCATCCCAGAATTCAGCCAGCCTGGAAAAACCCGCAGTTTCCCACATTTTTCTCCACCAAAGGAGAAAATCTGCATTTTTCTCTTTCAAAAGAAGAAAGCGGCATTATTCCTTGGCAGATGGAAAACCTGGATCCCTGGTAATCATGTTCCTTCCCAACTTAGGGAGTAATAGAATTTCTCAGGAGTCAGGCAAGGGAGTTGTGTTATCTGCTTTGTTTAGGAGCCTGGCATAATTTTCCTGGCCATGGGCAGGAGTACAGTTGTCAGAAGGAAGGATCAGTGATGCTCTAGTTGAGCTCTGCTTCCAATCCTACATTCCACCTGAACTCCTAGTCTAACTAGACGTTTCTCCAGAAAAGAGAGCATTGAAATAGTTGACAGGCAAGCTATTCCTGTTCAGGCTTCAGAATTAATGCCTCATTTGAGACGAGTGAGGCCTCTTAGTGTGTCTGTTAGCGCTGTTGCATCAGAACATCTGCTTGCAAATTCAGGACATGGGTATGTGAACAGGTTAACCCACAGCAAATCAAGCTGTCCCAGTTTATGAATGCATGACACAGTCTTGTCTCAACATTGGCAAACACCACTTGACAAATCAAGGACCACTTTCTCACATCTTTATGTTCACAGCCTGTTTGCTTTTGTCCAGTTGTAATTTGTGACTGGTTTATGCATGTGTTTTACCTCTCCATTCATGTGTCTGTTGCCTCAGTAAGACTGGCCTGTCAGATGACCCATTAATTTTTTTGTATTTGCTTATCATAATTTCTAGCATACAGGATGCCCCTATATCTATCATGCACCTTGTTTTTGAAAGCAGAATAAAGAATAAAAAATATTTCTTGTAGAAACTGAGTAGCAGCAGTTAGAGAACTGTGTCTGCTCTTAAGCTTGCTGCCAGCGCTGCATGATGGATGCTGCCCTTGGATTTACCCCACGTCCCAAGATCTATACATGGCCCAACCCCATGCACTGGCCCAGTGCAGCGCTCAGGGCTATGTCATCTGGCTGGAAGGCTCTCCATGGTCTTGTAATTTGGCAGCAGGAGAGTGGTGGCAGCACTGGAAGATACAAATAAGTGCATAGTTGGTAAATATGCAAATTACAACAAACTTGCAGTTGGGGGAATTGCAAAAACTCTGGAGTGAAAAGCCTTCATTTCTAAAGTTCTGTGGTAGGCAACAGAGGGAATTAGAAAATTTGGGATCTGTTCAAGAACATCCAGAGATGGATAAAATCAGTACAAACTGCCATAGATTCAAGCGGGTAGGATGGCATGATCAAACCTGAAACAATAGATGCATAGAGGATATCATACTTGAATAAGTTCATTAATCAGTAGGTTGTAAATTGCTTGGCACCAAACACGATTGATCATGAGGAACACCTGTAGGACAGTACAACAAAAACAGACATGGTAAGGTATGAAGGAATGCTGTAAATATAAAGATCATCAATCAGCAAATTGTAAGAAGCAGTAATGCAGCCTCAGTGGAAGCATTTCTAATGCATAAAAAGAGTAGAACAGAAATGTGCTCTGGATTTGTGTTTAACCCTGCACTATCCATGCTGTCTGTCAGTCTGTTAACATGGCTGATAGTATGAATGTAGGCTACATTAAGTACATGCTTGCTGAATAGCTACAGGTTTCACACTGTGTTGTAATAGAACCTAATAAGTCCTATTAACAACACTGAAGGAGGGATCTGATAACAGTCTTCAAATACCTGAAGGGTGGTGATAGATTGTTCCTTGTGACTGCAGGAGATAGGGCAAGGAGCAATGGGCTTAAGTTACAGCAAAGGAAATATAGGTTGGGTATTAGGAAGAACTTTCTCACTATAAGGATAGCGAAGCATTGCAGCACAACACTCGGAGAGGCTGTGGAATCTCCATTCTTAGAAACTTTTAAGAACAGGTTAAACAAACACTTGTATAGATGATTTAGGCAGGGAGGATCTTGCCTTGAACAGGGGGTTGGACTAAATGATCTCCTGTGGTCCCTCCCAACCGTACTCTTCTATGGGTGTTTATACACATGCAGCAAGAACGGGGGAGGGGGTTGGGCGCTTTAATTAGCGGCTCTAATTAAACTGCCCAGAGCGACTCATGTATCAGCATCCCTGCGCTTCGAAATGGTGGCAGGGGTGCTTTATCTAAAGTACAGGGATATTGATGCATGAGATGCAGGAGGCTTCTGGAGCTCAGTAATTGCCACGCTCCAGCAGACTCAATTCATTGAGTCTTCTCCGATTTGCTGGAATTCCAGCACGTTGAGCAGCCTTCCTGTTCGTGTGTAGGCACCCGATGATTCTACCATACCAAAAGAAAGTCATAGGCTAGGTTTGGCCACCTTAGCTATGTTAACTATGGGGGTGGAAAAAAAAAATATCACCCCCAAACTGACATAGTTACACCAACCAAAACTCCACATAAGAGCAAATTACGTCTGCAAAGTGGTCCTTATACTAGCATAACCTATATCATGTGAATAAGCAGTACAACAGCGCACCGGCAAAATAATGCCTTTTTGTTAGAATAGGCTGCATCTGCCCTTGGAACTTTGTTTTAGCTATACAGGCAAAGCCTTTGTAGACTATTTTAGCTCCTTAGGGTAGTCTGTTATGCAGAGGAATAAAGATGCCTTACTCCATAATAGTTTATTGTCCTTCCTATGGAGGAATGAGCTACATGGATAAAAGCATGTTCGCATGGGTTGGGGGTGTGCCACTTCAACTGTTTTGGGAAAGAAGCAAGACTTGCTAGGGTAGATGACCCCCTTATATTTTGTTCACTCAGGACAGGAACATTGTTATCTTTTTCCAAGGCCACGGCTGGGGGCTATAAATAATAACGATAGAGACATCTTGAGGGTTCTGCACATTGACCCTCACAGAATCCAGATGGCAGCATCACGGCTAAACGCTCAAGTCCTGAGAGTGCAGTTTGGTTCGTACAGATCACGTTGTCGTTCCTACCCGTCCTCCCAGTTCTGTTCTTTGTAGCCATCTCCAGGTTGAAACAGAATATTTCAGGTGATTTTTATTCCCCCGCTGGTTCAGGGAAGCAGGGCTGACTTGCTGTGATTATGTGACGGTTCTCCTGTACACTGTAGAACAAGGGACAGCACAACATGTCTGCACAAGCAGGCATCCTTGTTCCCAACATACCACAACACACCTGTGTGCTTTGTTCCCACTTGTCTGCAGAGATTTTTGCTATCCCTTGTTTTGGAGGCTGTGAATTTTAGGAGTATCCTGTGTTTAAGTAAAAAGTCAGTTGTATTCATGGCCAGATCCTGGGGGGCCTTGCATATATCCCTTAAAAGTGCCTATGAATGGGTTTATATTTTTTCAGTTCATTTGGTATCTCCAGTATCTTTTGAGGTAAGTATGTGGCTGACTTACTATTTAGACAGAAGAGGAAACGTGGTGTTGGGGTTGTACCTGCCTTTTTCCTCCCAGGAAGTCAGGAATTGTAGTGTTCATAGATTTCATAGACATTGGGGGCTGGAAGGGACCTTGAATGATTGAGTCCAGCCCCTCTGCCATAGGCAGGAAGTCTGCTGGGGTCAAATGATCCCAGCAAGATAAGCATCCAAAAGCCTTTTGAATGAGTCCAGAGTAGGTGCTTGCACCACCTCGGGGGGGAGTCTGTTCCAGACCCTGAACACTCAGACTGTAAAAAGTTTTTCCTTATGTCCATTCTAAATTGGCTTTCCAGGAGTTTGTGGCCATTAGACCTTGTTATCCCTTGGGGAGCCCTAGTAAACAGACGTTCTCCCAGATCCTGATGCACACCCCTTATATACTTACAGGCTGCCACCAAGTCCCCACAGAGCCTTCGCTTCTCCAGGCTGAAGAATCCCATGTCCCTCAGCCTCTCCTTGTAAGGCTTGCCCTCTTGGCCTTTGATCATACAGGTGGCTGTCCTTTGGACTCTCAAGCTTATCCATGTCCCATCTGAAGTGGGGGGACCCAAAACTGGACGCAGTACTCCAGCTGTGGCCTCACTAAGGCCAAGTAAAGCAGGAGGATGATGTCCCTAGTTTTGCTTGAGGTGCATCAGTGGATGCATGCCAGTGTTTGGTTTGCTTTGCTGACCACGGCATTGCATTGGTGGCTCATGTTCATCTTGTGGTCAGTCAAGACCCCCCAAGTCTCTTTTGGTCATGGTGCTAGTGAGTGTAGCACTGCTGAACATATAAGTATGATGCTAGTGTTTCCTCCCAAGGTGGAGCATCCTGCACTTCTCTACGTTGAATGCCATCAGGTTTTGGTCTGCCCACCTTGTGAGCGTGTCCCCAGCCTATCTTCCAGTGTGACGACCTTCCCCAGTAGTTTAGTGTCATCCACAAACTTTGCCAATCCACATCTGACACCAGAATCCAAATCATTATTGAAGATGTTGAAGAGCACTGGCCCAAGTACTGTTGCTGCTACTGTTCCAGTCCAACTGATTTTGGTATCCTGCACTGGCAGCGGCATAATGAAGGGTAGGGGACTAGTAGGCATGGGAATTTATCCCGCATCTAACTATAGGAAACACTGCTATATGAAGAATGATAAACTCCTTCATAACCCCTACCATGATCAGTTTCTGCCCCAAAGCATACTGTTTGAGTGTAATTTGCTGAGACCTGCTGATATCCTCTTCAGTGTCTGAAACCATTTAAGATGCACCTCCTATCTGAGCAACTTACTACCTTAAGGTCCTGATCCTGAGACAGTTTGGCTGCGTTCAGTCACTGTGGAAGCCAGTAAAATTCCACTTGGCTGGTTTTGAGCTGCCAAAGCTTGAGGAAAATGCTCTTTCCCCAAGTTTATAAATCTTCCAGAAGCTGTTTTGTTTTTGTTGACACTTAGATAATGCTAATGATTTATCTTTAAAACTTCAAGCTTCCCATGGTCTGCAGTGTAAGCAGGTGCCTCCAGAGAGAACTTTTAAACAAAATACATCCCACATAGAGCAGGGGTGGCCAAATCCAGGGCCCTGCATGGAGATCATTGACACTGGGGCACGAGTGTCCCAGAAACTTTGCCTTGCAGCTCTTTCCCATCAAAACTTTGGTTTGCAGTTAGGAGGGTTAGGAAGCTTGGCCTCTGTTTGTGCATATAAAGCACATGCCTGATGCATGATTTTTCTCTGCCCCTCCTTACACTGAAAGCTTTCAACAAAACACGAAAATGATTCATTTCCTTTACCATGCACTGACATCTACTAATCATTTTAATATTGACAAATTAAACATTCTGCATAACTGATCCCTTTTAACTTCACTGGAAGCACTCCCTGCTGTCTGGGCAGACCTCTGTATCGATTCCTCCTCCCACAGTCACTTTATTCCAGGCTCATTGGGTTGCATGTCCATTTTGCATGCCCCAGGATGTGAAGGCTCAGAGTATATTAGCCATAGTAAAGGGACAACTGTAAAGAAAACTCTTCTAGCTCTGTCTTAAAATATGTGCTGTGGCTTTCCTGAAGAAGAGGTAAGATACAGCTCCTCTAATGCTGCCTCACACTTGTCCAGTGTTGTTGCTGTTGACCTACTGAAGGTAAAATTGGTTTTAAAGATTCAGGTCGAGAGCTTTGTGGATTTACCTACTCTGGGGCAAACTTCTGATGAGGACAGCTCTATTAGTTTCTTTGGATTTCCAGCCACGGGTCACAAGTTTGAATGTGATTCTGAAATGTTGAGACTAAGTGTGTTTTGGCCATGGACATTTCTACTGTCAGACTTTTAGGAACTGTAAGTCTAATTTGGAATTGAAATCTGAACAAGGAGAGCTCTGTGGGTAATAGCTATGTGTTTTGGGGTGTTCTTTTATCATGTGTTTAAAGAAACAATGGAGTGAACTGAGATGGTTTTGCTATCAAAGTGAAATCCCAGTCCGGGCAGGTGGTACTAATTTGCTCCCACAAATTTCAAATTCGGAGTGCCTTTTATTGTTTCTCTTGTCCTGCGTTTCAGGTCATCACAGCTGCAACTGGTCCGTGTTCTACCAGAACCGTTGTGTCCTCTTACATTGTCGCCACTTGGGTGTGTGTCAGAATGCCAGAGCACAAGACATTAAAGATCTCCTTGGAGGTAATTCCTCAGTGTAGGACTTGTGGTAAAAACCAAATGCCTTGTAAGCCTCCTTTAATATGATTCAGTCTCTTATTTTGGTTTTAATCTTAAATACCCCACACTAAAACCCTAGAGGTTTTGGCTGAAAGAAGACCACATTATATTTCTGCACTTCAGATTGTGTCCATGAGTTGAATTGTGTCCTGGTAGTTGTGATGTTAGAATAGCACTATGACCCTTAAGGCCCTTTTAACCTCCCCCTGTTAAAGGGTTCATTCTGTCATGTTACTTTGTAGCCTCCTCTGTCTTGGATACTAAAAGCATAAGGATTTTTGGGTTTTTTAAAGAGCAAGGAGGATGCTTTGGCTTTGCTTTGACTGTCAGGATGTCATGCCAAAGTGGCAGGCTGTATGTGTAAGCAGAGCAGCATTATCAGCTGGGATCCTGGTTTTTTCTGATTAAAAATTGCAAATTCTCTGATTTAAAAACCCAAAATCCATGATAAAAATTAAAGGCCCCCCCAGCCCCTCAAAACAGCCTGCCAGACCCCTCAAAACAGCCTCACTCCCTCAAAACAGCCTGCCAGACCCACAGACATGCACACACAGACACTGAAACCCACCCCAGCAGGTAAGTGTGTGTGGGTGGAAGGGGCAGGGCAGGGCGGGGGAAAGGGAAGGTGCTGAGGGGTAGTTCAAGAAGTGGGGGGGAGCATGCCCCTGTGCCCACTTCCAGGAGCAGGGCCAGGGGGTGAGGGCAGGGGTGCCACTCTGTGGGTCACACATGTGTTGGCCGGCCTGACGGGGTTCGCACATGGAGGCCACCGCTGCAACTCTGCCACTGCACCCTGTGCTACCATCCCATGGCCACCCGCACAGCTTTGCAGGCAAGTGGCATAGGGCGCAGCAGTGGCAGTGCAGTGGCAGCTTCCCGGCGGGGGGGCGGGAAGGGGGCTTGCACACAGCGGCCACCATTGCACTGCCACTTATGCCCCACAACTGGCTGCACAGCTCCACGGTGGTGCGGGGTGGTGGCAGCTGCTTGCCGGCTGGTGGGGTGGGGCTTTGCGGGCAAGTGATGCGGGGTGTGGTACGGTGGTGCCCACCATGTGTGGGCCACACACATGCAGGGGAGGTGGGGCTTGCATGCAGCTGGCTGCACAGCTCCGTGGCCATGGCTCTGCGGTGGGGGGGCTCATACGCAGTGGCCACTGCCACTTATCTGTGGAGTCGTGGCAGCAGTGACAGCCACTGTGTGCAAAACCTCCCTGTGCTGCTGCTGCCACTACAGAGCCATGCCCACGGAGCTGTGCAGCTGGCCATGGTGGCAGCGGTGGCACAGGGAGGTATTGCATGCAGCGGCCATCACTGCTGGCATGGTTCCACAGGTAAACGGCAGGGGCTGCTGCACACGACCCCCCTGCCCCACACAGCCACCATCCCTCACCACCGCTGCAGAGCCATGGCTATGGAGCTGTGCAGCTGGCTGCATGTGAGCACCCCCCTTCCCCACCCCTAGCTAGCCAGCCAAGTGGCCCGCACATGGTGGGCACCACCACACTGCGCCCCACATTGCTTGCCTGCAAAGCCCCTCACGGTGGGGCACCCCTGCCCTCACTCCCCGGCCCTGCTCCTGGCTGCATTGTGCTGCCTGGGGTCAGCAGCAACCCCCCGCCTCCTCAGCCCCTTTCCCCAGGCGTGCCCCACAGCCCCCAAGCTCCACTTACCTCTAGGATCCAGGGGCAAAGGGCGAGTCTGAGCCTGAGCCAGCCTTGGCTGCCTCAGAGGCTCAGGCCCCGCCGTTCACCCTCTCCCTCCCCCTCTGGGCAGGGCTGGGGGATTCCCACCCTTTCTGCTATCAGCTCTTGCAGGCTGGAGCTGTGCCAGCCTGCAAGAGCTCTTTGCAAAAGCAGAGAATCTGTGGATTTCTCATCTTAAAGGGGAAATCCATGTTTTCTCTGGTTAAAAACAGGGAATCTGTGGTTTTCTCCTTTTTTCCATGGAAAACGGAAAACCCAGATCCCTGACTATCAGCAAGTGCTAGCTGCTGTTTGTACAGTAGCAGGCTGCTTTGTTTTAATGGGAAGTGACACCCTTACAAAATGGAGCTTGTTGGCAATTGAGGATCCAATCCCTGTTAAGTAAGTCTTGAAAATTCCACCCTACACAAGTCTAAAACAAAATAACTCCTTCCTGGTTCATTTTGTGTCATCTGATCTTGCTCAGAGATTTAGCAGTCAGAGTCCCATTAAGACTGGGATTCATGCAGCTGTTGAAATGATCATCAACTGAAGAAAGTCATTCTCAATTTAAAAAGTGGAAATTTTCACAACTGTTAAAAACAGGTAAAATTTGATCTAAATAATGGCCTTGACAGTGTCTTCTTACTGTATAAGCAAGAGCCAGATTCTATTCCAGCTATTGGGTATCTAAGTGGACTTAACATTTCTAAATCATATCCTAGCCTACCTTGCACAAGTCCCTGGAAACCTTTAAAGGGTTTTGTAATTTTTGTAACACACCATAATCTTACTCTTAAGGCTGAGTCACAAAAAAGCAATAAAGAAGAGGAGGGCCCACCTCCTTTTGCTTTAACTAGCTTTTCAGTCTTAAACAGCATGGAACAGGGTCTTCCTTAGGAACCTAAATCCACCTACACATCTAATAGGTGGAATAGGATCTGACCCAGAAGGTTTTGTTATTGTTCAAAGTAGAGAACTACTTCTATACCTTTTTAAGAACCTGTTTGACAGGGGAGGTCACCCTTCCTGCTGACATTCCTTAAAGGATTTCAGAGGGTTCCAGCCCTGGGGAGACAAAATGCTTGAGGCCTGTGACATCACTCAAATAACCCAAGGAGAAGGTACCATTTCTGAGAGGGATCATATACAACTGAAAGCCAGGTTTTGATTCTGTGATCCTACTCACACTGGAGACATAACTGTGGTAGATTGCTTCAGGAGATGATGCTGGCTTACCACTGTGAGCAAGATTGCAATTGGATCTGCTGTTTTTTTAAACCTGCTTCTCTTTGATTTTGCTTTTTAAAGAATTCATCCTTAAGAAAAGATCACTGGAACCAAATCAAACTACAGATGCAAAACAAACAGCGGTGACAAACATCACAAATAATGACTCAGAGGTTGAAAGCAACACACCAGCACCATCAACTCTAGAAATGACTACAAGAGGGACCAGAACAAGCCCAATAGTTGTAGTTGCAACCAGTACCATGACCACCACTGCTCGTGCCACGACCACCACTGCTCCTTTGACCCCCATGACTGCCAACACCACTGTAGCCTCAACAGGAACAACGAACAAGGTGAAAATGTCTGCTATTCCAGCCACAAGTAATAAAACATATTTTGGAGCCTTGAATGTCTCTGAAAATTTCAGCGTCCTTCCCAGCACAATACATCCAGCTGCTACTTCTCCAAATTCAAGTCATGCGGCTTCTAGCTCTCATCCCTCAACTACCTTTGGTGAGTCCAAACTTTCACCCAGTATTTCACTGGCTATTACCACGCCTGTTCCAGTTCTCAGCACAACAACACAACCCAGCACAACCATTACTACAAGCAGCACTTCTACATCTAGTAGGAGTACAACTGTTGGGGGCAATCCAAAGACAGTAATTTTATCCACAGCTGCAGCCACCTCACGCCAGTATTTGGAAGATGGGACAGGCGTTTCCCGAGTTACTAGTCCCTCAATACCAGTGACAGAAATGAATTCTTTAAACCCCAAGCTGGAGACAACCACAGCCAAAACAACCAGAGTTAAGCCAACTCCTCCTCTTCCAGTTACTACAGAGGGTGCAAAACCTTTAACTAGCCAGTTAACAACAGAAGCCACCATTGGTTCTGGGGTGAGAACAATATATACAACTGTTATGAATAAGCTTACAACCACAAATGCAGCAGATATAGCCAGAACAACAGTCCCAGGCCTAGACATCAGCCAACAAAGCACAGCCAGTGTGCATCTGCCTCCAAATGCAGCAGACGACATCAGTTCGCTCCTGGCAGTGCTTATGTTTGGCATATTGTTTTTTATAACTGTTATAGTTCTGTTTGCCATTCAGGCTTATGAAAGCTACAAGAAGAAGGACTACACGCAAGTGGACTACTTGATCAATGGAATGTACGCGGACTCAGAAATGTGAAAGGGTGGGGCAGAGACCCCAAGAGACAGGCTTCAATGTGTATCATGGAGACAGAAAGCCTGTGTGGCTCATTTTTCTTTCTCATTTGCCTATAAGACAAACTGAAAGTGCTTCCAATTTTACTTCCAGTGCAATTTAGGAAAAATGCCATGTACTGTATTAAAAAAAAAAAAAGAAGATATTTTTCTCAACAATAACAGAGTGCTATAGAAATGGAGTATTGTCTAACAACCCTGGCGCTAATACAAAAGCCATTGTTTTTCATTGCAAAATGAAACAGAGAGGGTGTGTGTGTGTCTGTGTGTATGAGCAGTCATCTTCCAAAGATTACAGAGAGCTTCGTAAACTTTGTTTACACTTGATCTTAAGTTCCTTGTGTATCATTAATTCCACATGCAGCAGTTTGTAAACTTCCTGTCTGTAAAATGGGAATAACAATGCCCATTCACCTTTTATGAAGTGCTTTTAAATTCAGTAGATGAAAAGCCCTGCCTAAGTGCTAAGTATTACTTCAATGAAAAATTTTTAAGCCAATGAGCATCATGTTCTGCTAATGCTTCCTGCTTGTAAAGAGATCTGTTTACAAGATACTGTAAACACTCGGTTTACTGTTGAACAAGACGGTTCTTTACTAAGGTGCAGATTCTTGTGCCTCTATACATACATGATCTTATTTTTGTATTCACTCAATAAATGGGGTCCTGAAGGGCATGTAACTTTGCATTTATGTATTTATTCTTTCCCACACACCAAAAATGCATCTTATGATGTGGAAGCAACATTATTATTTGCAGTAAGTCATGTAAAGAACAAGTTACAGTAAAAAGTAACAGCCTTACAACTGTCCTCTTAAGCATCTGGGGCCTAGTTTTGTTGCTGTCCTGCCACACCAGGAAGTTCCTGCTGCCTCACCTAGACTGTCCTGAGATGGCACACTTCCTGGATATTCTTATGTTTCTGGGAGGACTTGCTTTGTCACATAGTCATCTATGATTCTGGAAATATCATTTTTTTCCCTACATTTTGCCTTCCAAAACAAAGGTCATATCTTATTGGGGGGGGGGTGCAGCATGCAAGAAAATACATTGTGAACTAAACATGTGAAAAGTTTTCTAGGATCTTATCCCCCTTGAAGGAAAAAGGTGATGGGTGCATGAGAGTGCATGCTTTGGGATATTTAGGAGCAAATCGGAGGTTGAGCCCTGACATAGGCTCAGTCCAGGAGCGGAGGTGGGGGGTTGGGGGCAGTCCTGCCCCCCTGCCCTCCATTCCATTCCTTGTAATTTTGCATAACCCCGCCTCTCTTCCATAGCCCCAATCCTTCATTTGTATAAACCTGTTTCCAGTCCCTCCCACTTCTTTCCCTGCCTCTCATTCCATCGTTTGCATAACCCTGTCTGTCTTCCCTCTCCCCCCTCCTCTCCTTAGGAAACACTTCACTTCCCTCCCTCATTCCATTATTTGCACAACCCAAACCCCTGTAGAGACAGCACCCCCCCCCACCCCCATCATTTCCATTCCCTCCTGCCTCTCCGCTCCAGGACTGCAGGGCTTTTCTCTGCTTGCCGGTAAATGTATTTATTTATTTGCAGCAAGCTGCTCAGGGATGG